CTTTTCAGCTGAAATTTTCAGGACATTTCACTCACAAATAGACCTATCTATGGGCAAAATCTCAGGTCGAAATACTGTCATTCGATTTATTGGTATATACCATGCCATAGACTAAAATTCCAATAAAATGCCTAACTTTGGACAGAAGACCTAAGAGCATTTAATATTTTGGAGTTTTTCATATCTCACTGGGGTCTATCTTTTGCACAAAGTCTGAACTCAAAAGGAATTGAACAATTGAAAACCTTCCCTCGTGAGTATTATGTATGCTCGAGAAAGTCAATTATAAAAATTAGTTACTCTTGCATGTTTAAATATCAAAATTATCATAGTAAATTTTTTCTATTAAAACTTTATTTCTACTAGTTACTACTCAAACAATAGAATTTCGAGGTAAATGGAGCTCAGATTTGAGTTCTCCTTCCCGGAAAACCTCAAAGTATCATCTCTGTAATCGGAACAATGGAACTTTAATTTTCGATTAATTAGAGCGTAGACAAAAACAGAACCAATTTTCGTTTAAGTGTCTTTACAATAAGTGACTTAGCCTTCTTGTTTCCTAATGTTTCATATACCATTTTGTAGCTCTTGAAATCTCTTGTCGGATAGTATATCATAGCTTGGTTTTGGTTTGATTGTGAGCGGAACATTTTTTCTACGAAAACCGAGTTCGATGAATAATTGCACAGAACATCAAACGAGAATAATGAATTTTTTTCTGATAACTTATGAATGATTCGTCAAATTATTTTCACCTTCAAATTCAACCGAGATATCGACGAGATGAATCTATGTAGAAAATTTTATTGCGATTAAAACCAATCGGATTCACCGACCGATTCTTGAGTGTAATCACTTTTTCAGTACACAAAAAACAAGATCGACATCCAGAAAAAAAGCCCGAAATAAATTTATAAAAACGTGAAGATATCGTAGCAGTGTTGATGAATATGATAATACGGTGTGGGTGTGGGTGTTAAAATAAGAAATAAATCCATACCAAAACCCACCCACCCACACCGTTAACTGACATATTAAAAAGTTCATTGCGTAAATGACACAAGAAGTTTTTATCAAATGTGGTATCTGTTTAACATTATGCACCAGCATTCATACGTACTATGGCCGCCAAATTCAAATAGATCGTAGTTCAAATAGCTAATTTGATTAAAATCAATTTTGTACTACGTAGTAGATCATAATAGAGGTTAACTGAATCCTATTACCATCAATACATTACCTATCGTACTGAACGAATAGTCGGTCGTTTCAACATAAATAAAGATGTAAAAGTTAATATGATTCAGAGTTGTAATAGGTAAAACCTTCATTTTATCTTGCATAAAAATTGCGATCAATGAGAATCTATGAATAAATACAATGACCTGTTAAATATGAAATGACAGCATTTCTCTATCGAATGTTGTTTTTCCATTGTCTATTTCAAGAAAAGCTTCAATCTTCGAGCGAGAATTTACTAAATATCATTCATTATAAACTCTTTTTTGACTTTACAAGACTACCTACGAGCAAGTTAGAAGAAAAAAAAAATGTTTATTTTAAATATTTTTGTGTTTACACACATTATTATATCCAATAACTTCGACTTTCTGAAATCGGTAGAAAATGGTAGACAACTGGGTTATTATTAATTGTCATTTGATATAATGAATAATATACATCAGACTTCTTTTACTTCTCATGCTTCGTAATCCTGTTGCATAACAAATCTTTCGTCGGCGTTTTTTTCACGATAATAAATGCAATTTCTTGGTAATAAATAAAATAGAATGGATATTGTATAAAAAAAAAATTATGAAGGATAACTTAAATAAATTAGATTTCAGGACGAGCAATGTGAAACAATTGCCAAAAAGAAAACAACGTTAATAATGGTTCACTTTGACGTTAAACCATAAAGTTCTGTAATTACTTATACAATTAGAAAAATATCTCAAGAAAAAAAAACTAAATTTTATTGATCATTTCTTTGTTACATCATTATCTGTGTTTAGATCAGTTTTCGAAAATCTCAAAAAACACATTCAATTACAGTTATTTCAAGAGACATTTATTTAACTCTAGAAAACAAATACAAAAGCAATTTTTTTCTCTTCATTAAAACTTGTGTGCCAAGACTATTTGATGTTCGTACGATGAGTGAAGATCTCAAGAACAACATACACATTGTGTACCACACTAATCGTCACATTAATCTAACAATATAGTATAATAATCACATTGAGTTCATACATCATTTACTCGACATTGTTACTATATAGTTCTTAGACACAGAATGATCATAATCTGATGACTTTTCTTTTCTTTCAGATATCACACTATCACTTTGATCAAATCATCAAACAAGTATAATCATATCCGCTTTCGCTGTCATCTATTCTGTATTGTACCAAAACAACGCAGTTGATTTATAATCATAGTTCATTAGTTATGACATCTTTCTTCTACTTCAAAAAAGGTTCAGCACCAATCTACCATTCGAGAATGAAGCGCCAATTACTATTTACATTAATTGCTTTGCCGCCATGGTTGAGTGGTTACGTTGCTTGGCACGTACCCACAAGGTACTGTGTTCAAACCTCAGTAACATCATCCATGGAATGACCCTGGACAAGTCACTAACGGCTAAGTTGTCTCAAATGATTCATTCCACATGAGTCATTCGTGCTGACTACATCGTTAGTCAGTATGTTGGACGGAAGAGGGTGCAGATACCGCCGTCTGTAAAAAGAAAAGATGATAGAACCCGGCTGCATGTGAAAACTAGTAATAATGGCCGCGGCCGGTCCCAACGGGCGATAAGCCTATAGGACGTTATTATTATTATTAATTGCTTTGTTTTCAATAAAAAAAAGGACTAAAACCTCAAAACTTTGAAAAAAATGATTGCAAATACGGAGTCCTCAACCCCGATAATCTTTTATCAAGGTTGATTGAAAAAGCTTTCTTTTTTTAAATGTGGAAACGTGACTGCAAACAAATGCACAAACAAATAAACTCATTTTATTTTATATGATCCTCTCTTCAATAAAAGCAATTAAAAATGAAGTATTTTCTAATGAATAGTATAATTGAACTATAAAAAAAAAAAGAAACTCCTTCATTGTGTTGTTTTCTATAGGCATAGGTGTCATAAGTTGATTCAGCTCACATAGATTCTCTTATCTTAGCCTTTCTTCTATCTTTTCATGTTGCCGAGAATAAAGTATAAAAATCTTTCTTTTTTTAGAGATTTTTCTCTCTCCTTCGAGGCTCGTTGTATAAGCATAATTACACGAGAAGCTTAAGAAAAATTCTATATATTCTAGTTCAATTCTCTGGTTAGTTTGTTATAGGCTTAGTTTCATTAATCTACGAGGAGTGCATAAGATCATTACAGTTATTCAACTAAACCTCGCAAAATCAAATGTTTTCAATAGCAACATTTCTTGGAATTGTCAATCTATGTCTAGTCATTATTGCTATTCTTATTTTTTTATTAATTTTCATTATCATTTTCACTCATCATGAAGAACTAAATGATATATCATTAGTATTAACATGTAATACTTGCTTAGCTGCATTTCTTACATGTATTACAGAATTTTTCATGACTATTTCGAATTTAACAACAGGATTCTTAAACTATAATCTTTACTTTTGTTATGGATGGGGATTACTCTATGATATATTTGAATGTTCTATTTATCATAGTTATTGTTTACAAGCATTTTTTCGTTTATGTCGAGTTGTATTTTACAAGAAAAAATCTCTGCTATCTTTTTCCTTATATTATATGTTGATTATAGGCCAATGGTTAATCTCCATTGGCTTGTTTATACCAACCATACTTCTTCAATGGTACATTCATTTACCGACGGAAACCTATTGTCTTGTTCCATATACAGATATAGGTGCATCTACATATCTCATCATTATTCTATATCTTATTCCATTAGTATCAATTTCATTAATCTACGTATGGATAACGAAATTTATACGTAGTTCTGCACATCCAACAACACTTATTATAGTTGCAAAACAGAGACAACGAAATTTAAGAGACTTAACAATTATAAAACGTATTGTTATATTAATATTAATATTAATAGTGTTGCGATGTCCAACGATCATCTTTATTATATATGGAGTCATTGCTAGACACTTATATTCGTTAACATATTCGATTGTTGGTTTGATCACGTCAGCATTTTTAACAATAATTGGATTGATCACAATTGATATAACACCACAATTAAAAAAGAATATTTTGATGTTTGCATTTTGTCGAGATAGTCGAGTACACGTACATCAAATACCATTACGAACGTTAGAACCAATAGAAACTGTGCAAGGCAATGTTATTGGTACTCACCCAATTATAACCATCAATGAACGAAAAGATGTCAATACAAAGAATAAGTTTTAATAACGTTTTCATTTTCATTGACAATAACACATCATCTAATTCGTCTACTAATATAAAATTCTCTATATTTGTCTGCACTGATACTTTCTTAGCTTTCTTCATTGTCTAAACAATATTGTTTGTCAAAAATTATCATTTCTCTCGATTACTGATTTCTAAACAAGACTATTAATCTATGTAGTGTGTTATGTATTATATGTTTATTCTATCACTATTAAATGGCGAACAAAAGTTGAGTACTATTCTTAGTATTCAGCTAATTTTCTGACGATTAAAAGCTCTTTTAATATGCCATTCACAGTCGTATTTAATGAGTTACATTACGATAAAAAAAGAAACAATGATACGTCTATTCAAATGTTGATTAATTATTAATTAGTAACTAATTAATAAAATATGGACTCATTTTCAACTTCTAAGTATGCCATATGAAAGAACATTAAAGACTAATGAAAATTATATGATTACTATTCCGAAATAGATCATCTTAGGGATGTTTTAGGAGTGCTTTCAAAGTTAATTCAATAGAATGTGGATGCACTTTTCTCTTTATCCTCATCAATATCCTTTAATAATGAAAGAAATTCAAATCACGTTGATTAATCTTTCTTTGGTCAAGATTTTGAAGTTCCTTTTACAATTCTATTCTTCATTAATACTACGCAATTCACATCATTTTTATTCTCTAGATATTTTTTTTTTGGCAAAGAACAATAAACTAATTCAACGGTTTCATATGATTCCATGAACAAGGTGTGGCCATTGACATCGAGAGAGAGAGAGAGAGAGAGAGAGAGTAGGAATATATGCATACTAGAATTGTTTTCATTTGCTTAGTAACACTAGAAAAAATATTCAGAGTTATTAACAATTAATGCCTAAAAATGAAAAAAATTTTTACATTTTTGTATGAAATCTAATTCTTTAAATATCTAGGGTTTAAGTTTTTTGAGAAAATTCTATTCTATTGATCTAATTAATAATTGAAAGTTCGCTTTGTTTTGATACTCTTCTGATTTAACTGTTTAATTATGTTTTCTATTCGTTTTAAGTATTTTAGAAACGATAGAATATACTATTTTCATCGTTTCTCACAATACATATATATTCTATTAACATTACAATGATTTACAAGGTAATTTTTCTTTAAATTGTGGAAAAGCTTCGACAAGAAGATAAGCAGCGATGGACACCCAATAATCAAAGCATCAACTTGATTACTAATACCAAATCAACACATTCCATGTGGTGAATGTATTCGAAGATAATTAGCTATAACAAGATGAGGGTAACCGATAAGAATGTAGACACTCAGCCAAATGAGAAATACAAGAACACTTTTTTTTTTAATTGTATTTGCAAATGGTGGTGGACAAGGACTTTTAAAGCGTAGAAATATATCGAAACTAAATGTTAACGAACCTAATAATAACATAATTAGTAAATAACATTTTCTAAAAAACGGCTTTTTTATTTCAAATAAGCATATGATTGAAACATAAGGTGATGAAGAAAGCAATAAACCAAATATAATCAAAGTTGCATAAAGGCAATCTAATAAAGGAAGATAATAGGAAGTCGCAGAAAATATGTATTCCTTTGAATTTTTACTGTTGTTTAAAATATTGATAATCTTTATTGTATTTAATTTATTTTTGTCTAATGATAAAGATTTTTTTGTCGAAAGTTTTGTTCATTGTCGAAACACCAAGGAGATAAACGCTATAAAAAGAAGGAAGAATACACAAAGAAAATAGATTGATACTGAAAATCGAGCTGTTTTATCAATAGCAATAGTTGAAAGGAGAAGAATTGATGTCAGATAAAACATTCCATGGTTTGGCGGGTGACACTCAATAATTCGCACAATAAGGTTTCATTTAAAATAAATAATAAAAGTTGAAACGAAAATTTTTCTTTCATTTCACGAGATTAAAGGGTATGTCATAATAACTTTCGGTAAATTGTTAATGATATTTCCCTACTTTTTCTTGATGTAGAGAGCTGAAACTTTTAGGAATAAAAGAATCTTTGTTAGACATATATGTGATAAAAATTTCAGCTCTCTAATTATAACTAATAGTAAAATACATCGACAAGATTGAAATACATAAATTTTCGTACTCGATATAGCAGAGTGGTTCCATAGGTAGTCAATCAAAAAATCACAAAGTATTCAGAATTTTTTTTTTTCATATCAGACTTTGTAGAGCTTTTCCTGCTGATCATTTTGGTAAAAAAAGGTTTTCGAATTTTATTGGGAAATGACGATATTATAGTCAAAGTATTTATCGCAAAAAACAGAAAATGTCAGATTTTTTCGATAGGAATATCGTTTACAATATTCAACCGAGAAGGGTGTGGGATGTGGGGGTGGGGGGGGGGGGGGGGTGTGGATAATCTCTTCCAACACCCACATCCTCACCCTTGTTTGGGATGTTTATTAATCATAAAACAAAATGAAATTGTAATTTGTCAGTTCACGTAAAATAGTAAAATAGGATAATGAAATTTAAAAAAAAATCATGTGCAAACAGTTTAATCATTGTATTGAATTCGATCAAAGTAAATTACATTCGATTTGTTTAATAAGAATCAGTTAAAATTCTAACATGTGGTTGCCATGGTAAAGGGCATCTAGCAGTATTGACAGTTAGTTCATATGTTTGACATGTTCGTTCATTTGTTAAACAAATAAATGTTTGATCACAATCGATAGTTAATTGAAATATATCACCATCCCTAATGTTTGTTCGATAATTATTAAAATTAGAATAAGGAACACCATGTAAATAAACAAGATTATTAGTTGACCAGCCACAAAAAGTAGGATTCTTATATGGATCAGTAGATGCAGATGTTCTTTGAGAGATAATTCCCATTAAGACTGTACTATTTGATGTATCACATTCAATTTTAAAACAAAGTGTGTGATATCCTGATGAATATCTACTTGGCCAACGGAATATTAGACCAATATCAGATTGACTCTCATTTTTTTCATATTTGTATTTGTAATTCGGAATAAACGGTGTTATTCTATCAGTTGTTTTACCAACAAGTGAAAGTTTCGGAATAAATGGACATCCAACATCAATTTGAAAAAGTTGAATATTATCTTGTTCCTCTGACATACGTCGCAATTCTTGAATTCTAGCTCTCCATTGTTTTAACTGATATTCAAAAAAATTCCCATCACATCGAGCTTGATTTAGTTGTTGTGTAAGTTGTGTTAAGTTTTCTTTTATATTATGATGATATTTTTGAGTAATAGTTGTTAATTGCCAGCGAATATCATCAGCTGTTTGACCAATTTTATCAATAGATTGCCTTTCCCATTTGTCAACTGTGTTCGATAATTCTTGATGATATTGCTCTACATTTTGACGAGTTATATGTCGTTCAAAATTATCACGATCCTGAATTATTTCATAGAGTTCTTTTTCAAGCATCTGTCGATGTTCGGAAGCATGGACTGGACAAAAGCTATTAGAATAACTACGGCGTGTAAAATCACTGGCACATCTACCATAACTCCAACGAGAATTATATGGTCGATACATAGTAACCGTATGCGTTTCTAGGTAAAAAAAAAGCTTGTTAGCACTGTCCCTTTGGGACTGACATATGAAACTCACACATTTCTCAAAAGTCATCATACGTAATCACGAGACATCTCCCGAAATGGCAAAAGTTAGAAATATGTCCACGATTGTGCAAAACTTTTTGAAATTCAAAAAAGTTTTCCGTAAAATTTTGAAAGTTTACGAAAACATTTTTAAAATGTTCTAGCACAAGAATCGGAACTTTCGAACATAGTAGAAGAGGGTATTGCTTCCCTTCATCCTCAGAAGACCTCTGATAGCCGAATGTTGAACTCTTGGCTGAGCTCTCGAATAGTGACCTGTCTGCAATGAGAAGAGGAAGCCGGAAAATCTCGACTTAAACCTTACACTGACTATTTTCTTCGAAGACATGTGAGTTCCACAAAATGTTGATAGGAAATATAATCGTAAAAAAGATAAAAGATGAAAAACGATCATAATACTCATTGTCGAGAGCGAGATCGTCGAAGCTCTCACCAAAACGAGCGTTATCGAAAAGAAAGATCGCCCCAATGAATATCATCAAAATAAAGGTCACCGAAACTCTTTTCGTGATCTATATAAGTTATCTGTGTTTCAATAATTATTGTTTCATCGCTTTTTTAATATAATAAGCAGTGCAAAAGTCTTTGGAAAAATGTCACATTCTGCTAGATCATATAGCCAACTTCTAAATCAATGAAATTTTTTTTTTTGTTACAAAGAGTAATGTCTGAATTACAAGTTTTTGTAGGAGACATTTTTTTTCGTAATGAATCTAAGAAGAAAAAAATGTCCAAAACAAAAGACCTCTAAAAAAGTTCTTGCAACATTCTTGAAACTTGAAAAGTTTGTATTTTTCAATTATTTTCAGCTACATAGATCAATTTCTAACAACAAATTTATCGAAGTGAGCGCATCAAAAGCTCAATTGATGTCAGCTTTGGTAAATTTTCTTAGGTCCGTTCTTGACTATGTATTCAAACAAAAAACTTGGAAATTAAAATTTTTTGTAAAATAGAGTTTTGCAAGCATGATCAATTTGGAAAGAACATCGACCTCTATCTCTAGAATTCATGCATGAACTCAATTCTTGGTGCGTTATTTGTTCGAAATATCTCAGATCATAGATACTTACCAGCACAATATTATTCGAATAATAGTTTTTATTGTTGCAAAACAGTCACTTAATGAGAGCGACCAAGTTATACAGTCTCTTTCAGAAATAGCTATATCACTTCTAATATAAAAAGTTTAACGGAAATAGAAAGCTAATGCTGTATGATAGTGAAGTTGCAAGAACTTTTTTTTAGAGATGTTCTGTTTTTGGCGTTTTTTCCTTCTTAGATTCATTCTGAGGAAATATGTCTAATACAAAATTTCTAGTTCAGACATTATTCTTTCTAACAAAAAAAATTTCATTGCCTTAGAAGTTCAAAATATGGTCTAACAGAATCGGAAATTTTTCCAAAGACTTTTACACCGATTATTATATTGCGTAAAGAGAGAGCGGTTATTCAACTATACTGTATGCATCATATATGACAGCTTAATTTCTTGTTAGTTCGAAGCTTGACTTGGTTCCTAACTTCATTCTTAACTTGATTTAGTTACTAGCTTAACTCAGTCAGTTACTAACTTATCACATCTACGACGATTACTAACTACAATTACAATAGTATCAATACACATTATATGGAAATCTTTTTAATATTATAAATAGGATCTCAAAATAATCTTGATAGTTTCCATCCTCGAGAGGAATATCGCTGAAAACATCACCTATCGATAGCGACATCCCCGGAAGTGACACCAACGAAATGTTACATCTCCGATAGTCACACTGGCGAAACGGTACTTCACCGAAATACCGATTGCCAAATTTCGTGAGTCTCTATTTTAGCGATGCAATGTTCGCTGAAGAACATACCTACCTGAAAGAAAACTATCGTTATCTGATATCAACTTCAAGCGAAAACATGTTATTCGAGAAAAGGTCTCTTCTTATGAGTTCTCTTATCGTTTGTTGAAAGTTAACGTAAATAGATAGATTCTATCATTTGACCACATCTAAATAAAATGCACGAGAACTTCAAGTGTCTACAGAGTGTGGGTGTCTAAGGACAAAATATACGCTCCACACCTACAGCCACCCAGCCATCCGCACCCGCACCCATACCCACGCTGACATCCACATTCAGGATGTGGGTGTGGATGGGTTTGGGTCGGTGTGGGTGGGTTTGGGTCGGTGTGGGTGTGGATGTGCCTTGAGTCCATTCACATCCACACCCACATCCACACACCCACCCACACCCTACACCCATACCCACACCCATACCCACCCACACCCACACCCACACCCACACCCACACCCCACACCCACACCCACCCGCACTATTGTCTGTTTTATAGGTTTTCATTTCTGAACATAATCAATCTAATGATAATGTCGAGAGAAAAAACATAATGACAGTAGTAATCCATTAGTTTGATTGATTCATCGTACACAAAAGCAATGACTTATCATCGAGTAGCGAACTATCATATGTGACTCATTCTTTACTCATAGTATAGACTTTAACTCATAATATATAGAAGAAATATACATTTAATCTTAATCTATTGATTAGTATGAAGAATGAATGGATAGTTTTTTTTCGAAAAGAATCATATGTTTATGTTGAATTAATGCACTTTTTTCCCGCAGATTTCACATCGAAATAAGAAAACAAAAACAAATCAACAATGCGTAACAGAATTATTGTATTGCTATGTCACTTTACTTATTAGGCGTGGCAATTACAATTAAACGAGAAAAGGTACATTCTTTTTCTTTTCTTCTCTTCAACCCACAACCCGACAACGACTATATAAATAAACCGCACACAAACATTATCTTACACACAACAAAAAATCACAACAATAATATGGTTAAACTCATCATTCTCATCGCTCTTGTAAGTTTCTTTGATATATCTTAGTAATAAAATCTTTATCACTTGTTCACTGTAGGTATCTTTCGGATTAGTCTCAGCTGGTGGCTTTGGACGATCAAGTGGTGATAATCATCATGATGATAGTCATCATGGTGGTCCAATTGGAGAAAGAAATTCTGGCAATATAAAAGAATCGAAACTGTGTGATAATAGCACCTTGGTCCAATCATATGTCAACCAAGTGCAAACAACCATTACGCAACTGAACAACAACGATTCCTTCACAAATTTCTTTCAACAACGAAAAGAAGAACTGTCATATTTACAAAATACTGATAATACAGCACTTCTTACATCAAATTGCACACAATACTTCAAGAATTTGGATGCAGCTCGTGCAAGTGACAAGGTTGCTCAAAATCTACGAGCGCGAAATACAGACATCGCTAATCGTCTCTTGGAAAACATTCTTGACAATTGTCAGACTCAATTTAGAGATTATGGTCGTCGAAAATTTCGATCAGTTCACAAATACTAATTCTCATTTCTTTGTTTTTTATGCAATCTATGGATTCCATCTTTTCAATATTGAAATAAAATATTAATTGTCAACATCTTTTCTCTATTCAATCACTGTTTATTGTTTGATAGAAGTGATGATAAATCGATAGTTTTCATATTATTTGTTATTCCTCAAGAGAATAGACAGAGCGAGCAACTTTTCATTTTTACATTGATGTTTGATATTCCTATGACACTCGAGAAGTTCTTTGTTATCGATTATTTACATATTGTCATTGGCATTGTTGCATCAAAGTCATTTTCTCACGTTCATTTCATCTTGAACACTATCTGAAACTTGAATAGTTATTAAAAGAAAGTTCTACTCGTGAATAAAGATCATAGTTCAATAGAAAAAAACTGCCAGCTAAAGAAATCAAAGAGTCATTCGATAAACGTTTGGATACTTGATCAAAATGGAAAAGAGCAGTGTGAATGTGAAATGACGTGAATTTTACGTGTTTGCTGAACATATGAAGAATTATAGTCATTGAAAATAGATATTTGTTATGTTACTGTACTCGGGATCTAAATTAGATAAGATGACACCTAGGAGTCTAATTGAATCTTTTTGAATGCAACATACTAAAAACTGCAATCATTTCTGATGCAATCTGAATATTTATCAAATGATTGTAACAAAGAGATGAGTATAGCTTTGAAATATTCTTCATCGAATATTCAATGAAAGCACACATATAGAAAACATTGAACAATTGATAATGACATCATTGTCAATCTTTGGTGTTGTATGTAACCGTTTCACTGATAACCAGTAATGTTGCGGTTGAGAATGTGAGAGTTCTCTTTCATCCTCATGTCACACCCATCTTTTCAATAAATTGAATTATTGTTAATAGTAATTCTTTTTGATTATCAGCTTTTATTCAAAGAAAAGTAAAACACATTGACAATAATAAATGTAGAATAACACATATCTATACTTAAAGATCTAATTTCATATGATTATTTTTCTTTTTATGAATAAGAATTAGTATTTACTTTAATTTGTTGTACACAGTGTTATATGTTCATGAAGAAGTTGAATATTGAATACAATTAATATATTAAATTTTTCATTATTTGAGTTTGTTTATACATATAGTTTTATTTGAAAAATTGCATCTAATTGTAAGTCTCCAGCAATGTTTAGATAATATCTTAAAAGAAGACAAACAAATAATTCTAATGAAGCAAATAAAAATCGATATGCCTGATAGAGGATGATCTTTATTAATAATTGCTGTTATTTGTAAACATAATGAAACAATGTGAAAGATTTTATTAAGAATTTTTGAATATATATAAATGTGTTTTTAAATCTTGTACAAACAAATGAAGAGTGAAAAGAGAAAAAAATATTGGATTATAAAAAAGGTGTTGTACCATATTTGTATGATCTATTAAAATATTCCTTAATTCATCGAGTGTTTTTTTCTGTCTACTGGAATATTAATTATGGTAATCCATTGAACGTTTTTGCCGAATAAAATCTGCGAAATTCAACCAACTAAGAAGAGGAAAATTTCGAGATAAATCTCATTGAGTTGAATCCAGATAGAATTGGATAGTTATCCAGGTTTGAGCCCGAAAGTTTTATGTTAACTAAGTCGAGGTTGAAAAATTTCGAACTCCACGAAGTCTAGTTGCCTGACAGATGTGTAGGATGTTTCAGTTACCGAACAGAAAAAAAACTTGACAAAAATGTCTTGTTTTGTCTGAGCGACTATCTAGTTCCGATTAGAGAATTCCATTGTGATTATCAAAGTGTGGTTCAATCTGGTCTCAACCTGGATTCGCTTCTGAAAACTTAGAATCCAACACCCTCTATCATCAACACTTTGCTCGACGGGAATTCGCTTGTAGAGAATCAATAATTTTAACGGTCAGTAGTTTAGAAGAAATGGGCTAATCTCATTATCTTTAAGGTAACTAGATGTAAAGTCATTGGATTGCGTTTTATAGGAATATATCAAAACAAATGCCCATGAAACGAATTTTAAAGATCTGAACCACTTAAAGATAAAATTAATTCAAGAAATTAAAGTAATCAAAAACACATCGTTATATAATGTTTTGAGAAATATAGAGAAAAGATAAAATTCCCATGTTTCGGTTAGAAATGATAGCTTTAAAGAATGTTTTTCAAGTTTTCTCGTCTAATTAAAATAATCGGCATATGGATCTATTATTAAAAAAGAATTACTTGAGAAAGTTAAATCGAATAGTTAACATATACTTTAAAAGAAATTTGGGAAGAAACGATGAAAATATCCGTTATCGTTGTACCAATATATTAATGTTTCGAACACATAAATAGTTATATCTTTTTTGTCTAACAATAACTAATCTTTTCTTTTTCTTTTTCTTTAATTTCAAAATATTGAAAACTATTTTTTTATAAATGCTAATTGAATAGATGATCGAAGAAGAATCTTTAATCGGTACAATAATTGAGACAGTACAAAATATGTTATTATTAATAAATAATGTTTGGTAATTAATGAATCGATAAAATATATTTGAAATTAAATCATACTAATAATGATATACAATCATTTCTTCCTAATTCTCAAACAGTTTTGTTAATCTTTTTTTGTTTTACTCAAATATAATTACATTAAACTCTCATCTTGATTATAAACAAAAACACAATTTTATTGATTTGGGTGTGGGTGTGGATGTGGGTGAGGATTCAGGTCTTCTCTTTACTCACACCCACACCGACACCCACACCCCACTCAGACCCACATCTGAAAATATTAAAGATTTACTTTTACTTGAAGGTAAGGTGGGTAAGGGGTGAGGAAAAGAGTGGCCTTCAAAAAATCTATTCGCTTATGGATTGATTCGTATACGTGTTTTGATGTGAAACAAATTTAAATGAAGCATCCATGGAAAGGGACAATGGGCCAGATCGACATTCATTTCATAGGATTCCGTTGAACGAAGATTGACCATACGGATAAGTTGATGATCACAGTCAAGCATCAGTTCAATTAAATCACCTTGTGAAAAGTTAGTGATGTACCCATTATGACCTTTTGAACACTGCCCTCTCATGTACACTTCGTCGTGACCTGCCCAACCGTATGCTGACGATGATTGATGAGAATTTGGTTGCATAGTTGTTGATTCAGAGATAATACCGAAAAACCACCACGGATACATATCAAGCGTTTCAATTTTCAATCGAATTTGATGGATACCAAAATTGTATTTTCGTTTTCCGCGAATTTCACCAGAACTTCCAAAGAGATTGAAGTTGTGACAGACAAGCTCGCCGTCTTCTTTAGTAAAAACATTTCCATAGGTTTGATTGAATATATCTCGTTCATCGACATGAATCTTCATGATGAAAGAATTCTTCGACTCTTGCTCGTTAACTGAAACGTATGGTTTGGATACAATTTCTTTGAGTTCATCTATTTCTTTCTTCCATCTCGTCAAATTTCGCTCATCAAAATCATTATGCTGTCGACCTTCTTGTAGCTGTTGAGCAATACGACGAATGGTTAAGGCGTTCTCTTGATTGTTAGACACAATCAACGCTTCAACTTGTCGACGTGCTTCTTCGGCCTTTTCTTTTATCTGTCGCATTGATTTCGTTTCCCAAGTATCAATCTGACCCATCAAATGACTTCTCAGATCGATACTTGCTCCAGTGGACATTTGGTGAAAGTTATTCAATTCATTCACCAACCCATCCAGTTGTTGATCGAGTCCATTGCGATGTCCATTGAAATCATTGAGACAAAATACCAGTTGACAACCTTGACATTTTACAATATCTGCTTTTGTAGCACAAGTAGCACAGGTGCTCTCCATGGCGCTTAAACACTTATATTTCTCACAATGTTTTTTATACTTATCAATTTCTTATCTCGTTTCTTCTTCATTACAGTCGTCGATTCTGTCTTTTAGATAAACATCAGACGCCTTGCAAAAATGATTATAAAGATAAATCTTTTTTCTTTCACACTATCTCTATTCAGTCCTCAACTTAGGGAAAGAAAAAAGAGAAAATGAACCATCGCATGTGATTCAGTTCTGGGCTGCATGCAAACTGCTGCAAGACGTCAACTGTAGGTTATCAAGAAGAACGATCCTTCTGCTTACAATAAAATTTATTCTCGTCATCATCGAAATCTCTAGATAAGGTGTCCACGAAAAACTAAGTGCACCGTCATGTCTTACTTCGACTTTTTGGTAAATGAAGTAAATTAAGTTTGTCTCTATTTAAAAACCGTCGCTCGATGATGAACAACTTCAGAATCTCAAGAATTAAATTTTTTTGTCAAAGTACTGAATAGAAAACGATGGATGATACATCACCAAAAACTCTTTTTCAACTCCCCCTACTCGTTTTTATTACTACAATGAGATAACAAGAAGCAGCAAAACGGCATCTTATACAGCTCCTAAAGTTTTATGACAAACATGGCTAGGTGGGACGTGGGTCTGGGTCTGGATCTTCCTTTGAACCAAACCCACACTCCACACCCACACCTGGTTTTACTTTTGGAACAATAATTGATGAGTTGGAGGAAAAAAACCGATCTCATGAGCTTTAACATTCTGAAACTTGACATAACTAGGCTTATTTTGCACTAACATATGATAACCAATGCATATAAACGATAATGTAAGGTGTGACCGATATAAAAGTCACAAAAAAATGCAAAAAATCGAGGGATTTAAAGAGAAACACTGCGAAGTAGGTCCAAAGAGGACTGATTTTAGTGTTATAATCGACAGTTACAACTTAGAACAGTATTCATGAAGCGTGTCCGTACAAACAAAAACTTTACACTGTTATCTATCATGTGAAAAGTATTGGTTGACTTAGTTTTGATAAATAGTGAAGTTCTACGAATTTACTTTTACACCGGACATTTGAAATATCCTGTAGTTTTCTTTTTTAATCCAGATGAAGAAATAAAGATATGGGGATGATCAATCTGGCCGGCTACTCCAACTAGTTTTTTAACGTATAGGTCCTATAATACATCAGAATGTTATGAGTTTTTCATTACTTATAGTATGCGTGTAGTGCTGGGAATTCATCATTATTTCGGAAATCAATTGAAAAACAGACCAACTTATCTTTCAAAGAAAAGACAAATACAATCTGCTAATTTCAACTTCTACTTTTCAGAAATCGACTATCTTATGCCAATTAATTAATCAAATTATAAAATACAATGTGCTTGTAAATAAAGAATTAGAGTTTTGCAGATTATTGCGTTGCCGACGCGTTTCATGTTTATTGAAATAAAAATTATTCTTCAGGGCTCTGCAAAACATGTATAAAGCACAAAAAAGGAATAAGGACAAATACATAAAGGAAAATGAAGAAATATCGTTTGTTTTTTACTATAAAATAATAAAATAAGTGTTTCATATCTATCAAAATAAAGTATGTATCTATATTCTTTAATCGAAGTAAATAAGATTTAAGCAAATATTGAATGAAATAAAGTCCTCATTACTGATTGTCAATTGGTACGAAAGAAAATAATAATCCAGTTGATTGATAAAAGCCTTTAACAATTGTTTTCTGAAAAGAAAAAGTTTATCTCATACCTTTCCTCATACATTCAAAAGAATAAACTTCAAAAACTTTTCGCATAATAATCGAGTGAATGAATATAGGCCATGATAAAAAGTAAAACAACGAAAACAAGAAAATTTTATTGATTTTAAAATTTTCTTTTCCTATTAAATTTAAATAACGGCAAATATGCAACATTTGCATACTATGCTGAAAAATCATCTGTAAACAAAATAGAAGTTTGCCCATTGGTCTAAAAATCCTAGTTACATCGTTGGTTGTAATGCCCAAAAACATGTCCAATCGTTATATTTCGTAAATAATACATTTGTTCGTACTAACTACTAAAGAAAATTAGCAAAATAGAGTAATATGAACAATTTATAGTTTTTTTTTTTCAATTAAAATTACCACACTGACAGTACAGTAAATAACAAGATCAAGATAAAAATGAATATTTTTTTCGATAGACACAACGAAAAAATACACAGTTAATTAGAACAATGTTTAACATATAGGGAAGAGATCGCAGGAAGAAAAGCTCTTATTGGTTCTTCATTTTCTTTGTTAAAATTTTTTTTCAGCACTTTTTGATAAATATGCTGATAAAAAAGGATCGCATTAAAAACTACATAAGAAGTGTTCTTCCTGAATTTTTTCCTCCCAATATGCCTTGCTATTTGATTTTTTTTAATATTTATGTCTATAGAGAATAAGATTATTCATGCACATCTTCAAAAACTGGCCATTTGGTTTTTGTTTCACGGCCATAATGTTTATTAAAATATTCAATATCACTATTGATATTATGTTTACCAATTGCTTTATTAAATAAATCAGACATTTCCGTATGACGTGCATCTTTTTCAATCGATACTGCTTCTTGAAGAGCATTAAACATTAATTTAAATTGATTTAAACGTTCTCGTTCAAAATCATCTGTACGAGATAGTATTTTAAACATTTCTTCTTCATAACCTGGTTGTTCTGCTTTCATATCTTCCATTAATTTAGAATACGTACTTCTACATGTTTCTGTTTTAGATTCATAATGATGAACACTATCTTTTATTTTTTTCTTCTGTTCATCAGCCGCACCTAAATCTGTTTTAATAATCTCTTCTGCTCGTTTAGCTTGATGTAATTTACGGCTTGCATGATGAAATTCTTGTTTTGCTTCATGAATTTTATTTAATAATTCCAATCATGGTTTTTGTACTTTTTTAAAATCTTTTTAAAATTCTTTAACTTTTTTCATATGAAGAAATGATTTTTCATATTTTGAATTTTTATAAGTAATCATTTTATCAATAACATTATGTTGAATATTTTTAGTTATATCTTCATTTCTTTCAGCTAATTTTTCAACTGCTTGTATAGATTCGATCCATGCTGTTTTTGTAGTACCAAATTCTTTTGATTGAACAATTTTTCTTTGACTTATCAATGACTATTGACGTAATGACTCAGAACAATGTTCTAGAACTTTAACAAGTTCTTTATAAATTTCGATGCTTAAGTCACATGATTTATGTGCACCTTCACAACGATCAATGGCTGATTTGTATTGATTAGGTTCACAAAAACCTTTGCCATGCCAAGGATTAGACAGATATTTTTCTGGTGTTGTTTGACTTTGCGGTAAAATACACTGCACTGCAAGATAGATGATGAAAACATCATTCATCCAAAAGAAAACGTGAGGTACAAAAACCTACTGATAGCTTTTGATTTGATGCAATATTAGATAAGAAACCTCGTGTGAAAATTCGTTGATGCCAATAGAACTGAATACGATGATACACGATGATTAGATATTGCAAATAGTATAAATCATAGTGTTGTATGAATAGTTTCTTTTTTGAGATGTCTTATATAGTGAAATCAACCACATATATAGAGGAGAAATGATGACTCATTTTTGTTATTGTTTTTCGTTTTATTCGACGAAGGGAGGCATTAAACAATAACTGTGATAGGTATTTTGTTTATACATGTCCTTTTTTTTCTTTTTTCTTCGCTTTCTTTTTCAGGCCCCGTACAAGTAATCTCGTTTATTTCATAATCTAAAGACGCTAAATCTATATCCGTACATTGATAGCTAGATATGTTGATAATAAGGGTATAGACTGATTCATGAATTTTATTTCTGATTTCTCATCATGCTGTCACTTGATGAGTTTGTTTTCTCTGTTTAGTAACCCTAAGTTTTCTCTCTTCCTGTTTGATATCAAGAAATTGACTCATGATATCCTTCATGACACATAAAAATGCACACTGATTGGATAGTTTATTTTCTGTCATGCTTTCATTTACAATTACTTTTTCCCCATAAGAATTTCTCTCTTTTGTAATTTACGTCGTTTGTTATTGTTTTTAATCGCTACCAACTATTGCACCATCAACAGAAATAAAATAAGTATAGAAAAAGAAAAACAATAATTGAAAACATTGAAGTTATTATTATTAAATTTCCACTCAAAAAGAATACAGAACGATCTGTTGAAAAATCTTTAGTTCTACATAGCTGTCTTCATTTTTTTTTCAATATTAAAAAAATAAAAACACAGATATGCAAATATTAGTTTGTTTTTTTTTGTTCATACAAGAGCAAATGTTTGATTTTTACCATCATCTTTTATCGAATTTTATTTTTTCGTCAATTTTCATCTATGTATTTCAAATGGCTTATCGATGATGTAAGGTTTACTAAGGTAAAAATTTATCAAAGATTTCAATAAATAACGAAAGAAGTCTTTTTTTAGTTCATGATTCATAACAAAAAATTTCATCATAGGGAAAAAAACGTATGAATAAAATAGTTTTGATCGAACGAATATTAATTAAGTTTTCCAGTTTAGACAATATGAATGTATATGTCTCTATTTTATTTACTGAAAATATATTGATATTTTCTTCATATCGACAAAAAAACTCATTCATCATTGATTTTGAAAACTTTTAAGTGTCAGATTTTATTTTCTTTTCTCAAGGATTAATTCTGACATATTGTCATCAAAAATGAGCCGAATAATACATTGATTTGCTTTTATTTGTTTTTCTGATTATTAGTTTAGATGGAAAAAGTTAACTGTAAATGTTTCTTTGATATTTTCATTGGTTCAAACTGAAATCCATCTAATATGACGAAAGAATATCGCATTAGAAGAACAAAGAAACAAGCATTACACAACACTCCAGAAAGAACTCATTCGTCACTAAATACATATGTTTAATATGACATCAAATGGCAAGAAAGTAACAGTGTCATGTAAATTCTCTGCAAAATTGTTGCCAAAAATAAGTACTCTCATGGCTCAAGCAAAATAATTATTCATTCGCGATCATTATTTTACGTATCAACTGTTGACATCTCGATACAATAGATGGGTTTCATAGGTACAAAATATCGTGTTAACAATAATTTGAATCATTGAGAATGTTGATGATACACGTTCGAAGATAAAAGAATATGTATTTGCAAGCATTGCATCAGAAATCTTTTTTGTCATTGATAATACAGAAAGGTTATTCATTCATTGATCTATTCTATGAAATTCAGTCTAATCGGTAGTGTGACCAAGGCTAAATGCTGGAACCGACTAGGGAATATTCGTAAATTCATAAAGATCTCGATATAAATCCAGATGGAATATTGAAATTATATACACAAATACGTCGTTGTAGTCTTGATTGGGAATAGAAATGTTATCAACAGAGACATTAAAAATAGACTAAAATACAACTGATTCAGGCTTAAGATCTGAGTTTGATGCATATTTGATTAAAAAAACTTCATTTCATTTTTTTTTTGTGTTTTTTCTTTACGCTATCAATACTTTGTTGTGGGTGTGAGTGGGTGGGTGTAGGTAACTCATGTATAGCTATCAAGAGTGTGTGGTGTGGGTATCATTTTCCTCTTTACCAACACTCATACCCACATCCACACCCAAGTGTAGTGGCCAATGGCTGCGGTCGGACGCCATCCTGATTTGTATCTGATTCTGACAATAAATGTGAACTCGTTGGTTGAGATACAGAAAACAATGGATGCAATGGACGTGACAAGGTGAATGGATATCGGATGTTTGTGATACAGCAGATGAATTAGATGGATGTGGGTGACGGTCTGTGTGGGAGTATTTTCTCTTACACCACACCCTGGGCGTCGATGTTGGTGATCCATTGATTATCTACAACCGCACACCATCCACACCCAAAATATTTTCAAAACTAAAACATTAGAAAAACTGTTATTGAGAAAATGAAGCATCAGAAAAATAAAAAGACTTCACAATTGAAATCTTCGTAGACAATCACTTAGTTAGCACTATAGAGTTTGATTAGTTTTAGTATTTGATCGTCCTGCTTTATGGTTTATTGTTTGCAATCTCTTATGATTCGATAGTTATTCAATACGAAACGCACGTTTTAGTTCTCAAAAAATTGAAATATGTTTTGGTGACAAATGTATCAACAATTAAAAAAATTGTTAGTTAAATTGATCAGTTTTAAGTGGATAGATTTGTTTGTTGTATGTCCAGACGATTTTTTATCGCTAGCGTAAATGGTGGAGTATGTTTGAAGTGAGAATAAACAGTACATGCGTAAGTGATATTTAGTAACTGACGACAACGTAAAAGTTGTTATTAGTATTTGTGGTGTAATTCAGAGCGAGATAGTATCGCAAAGTACACAACTGATTGGGAACAATTCCACTTATTGTTTGACTGAGATAATCAAAATTTGGTACTGGATTACAACGGTCACGATAGTGGTAAGTACCATTGTAAGGGTGCACCGTACTGATTGTACCAGGTCCTCCACCACTGACGCCAGTGCAATAAGTTGTGCAGGAAGAAATCCAGTGGGGCAATAGTGAGCCAGATTCAAAGCCTCCGTTTTGCATGAGTTCGATGTCCGATGGTTGCTTCAATGATACATCATCCAAGTCCCAGGTGCCGGAGGTGTTATCGGTTTGGAAGGCGAATGTGACCGTAGTCCAATTGCTTGTCGGCGTGAATGAATTTGTGACTATTCCATAGGTTGGCGACGTCAATGCACCATTGAAAAGAATGTAAAGCGTCGTGGGTATGCTTGAGCATGAGAATACTAAACCAAAAAAAAAAAACTAACAATATATCAGTATGGATTCGAGGCATATGCAATGTAGGAACATTCTCAAGAATTTTGCAGTGTGATGTAGACAAGTAGAAAAATAATTGTTTATTTCTCGCATAGACTTTCATCTGTGCCTCTCCATCAGGTATTTTTTCAGCGAAGATGCTTCGCAGACGCCCGAAACATTTCCATTTGTTGCGTCTCTGATGTAGCGTAGAAGACAAGATTTTGCGATTCGATCGACTTGACCCTACAGAAATCAATAAAGAACTGACTTACGTGTAGTAGCTGTTGTTGTCGATGTTGTTGTTGTACTAGCTGTTAATAGATTAAAATAAACCAACCAGTGCTGATCACATGAAATAAAAAAAAAACGTTCCCAATTCTTTGTCATTTACATTAAGCTATCCGTATACAGAGCGAGATATAATTCTTCTATTGTTAATGGCGCTTCGAAACTAAACGTTAATTACAAAAAAAAATATATTGATTTTATCACTTAGACTACTTAATAACATTTCAGTGACGCGAATCATCATCAATTATGAATGTTTGGCTTGCCTAATCTTGTGCAGTATTATTTTCACTCATATGTATCAATACGCTTTCGTAAAAATATACATTTTTTTCCCGAATTCAAAATTGTTTATAATAAAAGCTCATTATTCATGATGATCGAATTTGAACAACAAGATATCATCGAACAAGAGTTTTGTCACTTTTTTCTTATTGAGCTTGATCTTATGATTTGATTTCATCTTAAAATGTTGAAAAAGCAGATGTCAAAAACAAAATTATATAAAGACAAAGACACAAATAATAGTCTCTGTCTTAGTGCTTATGTGTGGTCTGCAGCATGATTATTCGGAGACTTAGTATACGCTAATATTTCCTTCAATGGTAATCATATGAAAATATCTCTAATTCTAAATTAAATGTTTCAAGTTTTTAAGTGCTTTATAATTAATTTGAAATTTCATATATATATATATATATATATAATTCATGTATACTAAACAGAAACACAGTAATTATGAATATAGATGCGACGATGTTCTTAACTGTGGATTTCTTGGGTGACTTTTGTATAACATATCAATCGAATGAAAATAAATTAGATAAAACCCTCAACTGTTCGGTCATTTTTGTTGATCTCAAATTGTAGATAATGGTCGGTAGAATGTGGGCGTTCTTCTCTTCATCACACCCATACTCACACACCTTAAACAACGCGTTTTCTAATGACAATGAACTGGTTAGTAATGAACTGGTTTCAAATCGATGAAAGTGATCTTTCAATAGGTGTTTTTCGACTCATTCAAGAATAATTCGTTCATGTAATTGAAAAGTATCCATCATACAAATATATCAAAACGTTCAAAAGAAGGAAGCATTCGCATAGGGATTCAAAATTTTCTGAGGAATGATTGAAATTTAATTTTCTACTTAAAGAGAGTTTTAAACATTCGTGCATACGAAAAAAGTAGAATCTCAATTCGTTCTAGAAAAATGAAATTTTTTTCTCAATTTCAATTTTCTTGAAGAAAATATATATAACAGGTGTATTATCCATTTAAATCACTATTTATGAAAGTAATAATTTGATATTAAAAGAAACAATAAAAAAAAATGAAAATTAAAGGATAAATATCAGCAATGCAAATAAAAAATAGATGGAGCTATCAAAAGAGAAAGAAAGAAAGAAATTTCTTTTGAAAATGCATAAATAAATAGAGTGGATCATTATACTGATAATTGATTGTCTTGTAAGGCTACTATAGTCTACAAGAAAATTTTTACTTGACGTATTTTATATTAGTTAAATCAGACTAATGAACATGTGGACTTTTCACATTTTAACTTGAAATGTACTTTCAGAACAAATCTTTTTTTCTAGAGAATTGATTTATTTATATCTATACTGTAATTTTCTTTTTAATATTTACAAAATAGTAATTGCAAAATTTTGGATCTATTGTAGTTGTTGAAAAAAACTATGGTGCAAAATTTACGTTAGAGTATGCCTTAAATTTATTAATCACATTTTTTAAAATCGGATGCGTCGTCTAGTTCTTCTACTAATATTACAAGTTTCATGCTGCTAAATCAGAATCTACACTAGTTTTGTTTTATATGAGTAGAAAATTTAACATTCTAGAAATACGTAGTCTAATAGCGTATTCACTGTCTCGTAATTACAAATTCATTCAGTTGAATCCACATTAAAAAGCAATGAAAATGAACTATAATTGGCGAGGAGGAAACAGCAGACTTCAAAAGACTTCATGAAACTTCAAAATACTTCATCAG